CGAGGAGCAAGCACTACGAGGCCGGAAGAAGCCAAACTCTAAAAAACTGGAGATCAAGTATAAGGAGGCACGCCAGACACTCAATAAGGCGATCAAGGAAAGTAAGAGACAGGCGTGGAATGAGCTCCTTGACGAAGTCGAAGTGGACCCGTGGGGGCGACCCTACGGTGTGGTCATGAAGATGTTGAGAATCCAGCCGATGCTGTCGCCTACGTGCCCTAAGCTTTTGAAGAAAATCGTAACGGTGCTGTTCCCACTACAACCGGAGCTCGACTTCTTCACTGAGAAGTGCGATGCAGAGGCGATCCCACCAGTGACACTTGAGCAGCTGCTCGAAGCTTGTGGCAGATTCGGGAATACCAAGGCACCAGGAATAGATGGAATGCCGAATGCCGCCCTGAAAGTGGTAATCAACGCAGCGCCTGAAGCCTTTCTGAGTGTCTATAATGCGTGTCTTCAGGAGGGGATATTTCCAACCAAGTGGAAGCAAAAGAGACTGGTGCTCCATCCGAAAGGCAAGAAGCCACCGGACGAACCCTCGTCCTATCGTCCACTCTGCATGCTGGACACAACCGGAAAAATTCTGGAGCGCATACTCCATCAAAGATCGAGGAAGTGGTCGAACCACAATTGGCTGACAACCAATATGGTTTTCGTAGAGATCGTTCCACGCTTGATGCCATCAACCTAGTCGTCTCCATTGCACGGGACGCAATCTCTGGCGCGAGGTGGAAATGGGGCGCGAAGCAGTACTGTCTGGTAGTAACGTTGGACATCAAAAATANCGGAAGCGTAGTACAAGCAACCATCCATCGGTCTACTGGGAGAACAATACCATCGCCACGCTACGAAAGGCTTGCATTCGAGCGAGGAGCAAGCACTACGAGGCCGGAAGAAGCCAAACTCTAAAAAACTGGAGATCAAGTATAAGGAGGCACGCCAGACACTCAATAAGGCGATCAAGGAAAGTAAGAGACAGGCGTGGAATGAGCTCCTTGACGAAGTCGAAGTGGACCCGTGGGGGCGACCCTACGGTGTGGTCATGAAGATGTTGAGAATCCAGCCGATGCTGTCGCCTACGTGCCCTAAGCTTTTGAAGAAAATCGTAACGGTGCTGTTCCCACTACAACCGGAGCTCGACTTCTTCACTGAGAAGTGCGATGCAGAGGCGATCCCACCAGTGACACTTGAGCAGCTGCTCGAAGCTTGTGGCAGATTCGGGAATACCAAGGCACCAGGAATAGATGGAATGCCGAATGCCGCCCTGAAAGTGGTAATCAACGCAGCGCCTGAAGCCTTTCTGAGTGTCTATAATGCGTGTCTTCAGGAGGGGATATTTCCAACCAAGTGGAAGCAAAAGAGACTGGTGCTCCATCCGAAAGGCAAGAAGCCACCGGACGAACCCTCGTCCTATCGTCCACTCTGCATGCTGGACACAACCGGAAAAATTCTGGAGCGCATACTCCATCAAAGATCGAGGAAGTGGTCGAACCACAATTGGCTGACAACCAATATGGTTTTCGTAGAGATCGTTCCACGCTTGATGCCATCAACCTAGTCGTCTCCATTGCACGGGACGCAATCTCTGGCGCGAGGTGGAAATGGGGCGCGAAGCAGTACTGTCTGGTAGTAACGTTGGACATCAAAAATACCTTCAACTCCGCCAGATGGGACAACATCATGGAGGCCCTCTCAAAGCTGAATGTACCAGGATATATGCGGAGGATGGTGCGAAGCTACTTCAGAGACAGAGTCCTGAAATACGATACAGACGCCGGCCCAAAAGAGTACAGAATCACTAGTGGTGTTCCCCAAGGCTCAGTGCTTGGCCCTCTCTTGTGGAACGTTATGTACGACGATCTTCTGGAGTTAGCGTTACACACGGAGGCTACACGTCCGGTTTGCGGATAATGTAGCTCTGGTAATCGTTGCAAAACGCCTGGGGGAGATCAATTATATTTTCGATATTGCATATGACAGAATTCGCCAATGGATGGACTCTGTGGGACTGATGTTGGCAGATCATAAAACGGAGGCTGATCTTATCACGAGCCGACAGAAGATCGAAACCATCACGCTGCATGTCGGAAATCACCAGTAAAAAATAGAGAGGTCAATTATTACCTAGCACAAATGCTTTCAGGACACGGGTGTCTCCGGGCGTATCTTCACAAATAGAAACATGAAGATTCCCCGGAGTGCCTATATTGCACAGGAGTGGCCGAAGATGCAGAGCATGTATTCTTTACATGCCCCCGCTTCAATGAGATTCGAAGTACGTGGGAGTCCGACCTAGGAAGAGAGGTTAAACCTGAGAGCCTGGTGGACGCAATGTTGTCATCAAAGGCAGCCTGGGACACGACGTGTAACTTTGCGGCCGAGGTCATGAAGGAGCTCAGAAACGAGGAACAAAAGCGCAATGCTGCAGTATAGGTGAGAAATCTTATTGGAACCTCCAAATCACGCAGAACATCTTAGCGGGATGAGGGGTGTACATCAGATGAAAAAACGTGGAAGAGCTCACAGCTGAGACCTCCCTCGCGAAGTAATACTTTACGGTGTGGCCGGGAGGGAATGAAAGGTTAGTGGAAATATGTTTGACTGGAGTTGAGTCGGTATTGACAGTTTTTCTCCGAGTCCGACACTCATTTGACGGAGGGATCCTGCTGTCCCCTCCCTCAAGTGGTCGTGCGTAAATGCATTCTCCCAACAGACGAAAAAAAAACACACACACGCACATAACTATGGGAGGTAATACCAAATGAGAGAACAAGATCGGCAACGAGGAAAACAAACTCGATCGGTAGGAAAGTGAGTAGTTTTGAGCCGACCATATACCTGGTAGCATTGGACACCAATCCGCTAGGCAAGAGCAATGCTACGGAGAAGCTAGGTAAGCTCATAAAAAGAGTTACTGACGCTTGTGTTGTGACCATGCCGCGGAAACGCAGCGGGTACAAACGACCGCCGTTGCACTGGTGGAATGACCAAATCAAAAATCTCCGCAAGGCGTGCATCTCAGCGAGGAGGTCTGCACAACCCACAAGGAAGAAACCGACTTTTGCAACCCTAGATGCAAAGTATAGAGCGACTCGGCGAAAGCTCACCAAGGCCATCAAGCATAGCAAGACGAACTGTTGGAACGAGCTCCTGAAAGAGGTCGACCGTGATCCATAGGGCCGACCATATAAGGTGGTCATGACGCGGCTCAAGAATCAGCTGATGCCATCACCATCGTGCCCCAATCTCCTGGAGAAAAAAGTCACGGCTTTGTTCCCGCAACAGCTGGAAAAGGCCCAACAACATCTTGATGAATGCGATGTGGAGTCGATTCCATCAGTTACGCTCGAGCAGCTGATGGAAGCCTGCGACAGTGGGAAACAACAAGGCTTCTTGATGGAGTACCCAACATCGCCCTTAAAACAGCCATTAAAGCAGCCCCGAAGCTGTTCCTGGATGCATCCAATGCATGCCTTTGAGAGGGCATCTTTCCTACCAGGTGGAAGCAGCAGAGACTCGTGCTTTTACCCAAAGGGAAGAAACCGCCTGACGAACCATCATCATATCGTCCACTCTGCATACTGGATACGGCAGGCAAAATCCAGGAACGCATTGCCTATCGAAGAATAGAAGAGGTCGTCGACCACCTGCTGGCTGATAACCATATGGTTTCCGGTGAAATCACTCAACGCTTGATGCTATTGACCTCGTCGTCAAGACCGCCAAACGAGCAATTTCCGGTACGAGATGGAAAGGTGGCACCAAAGAATACTGTCTAGTGGCAACACTAGACATCAAAAATGCATTCAATTCAGCCAGGTGGAGCCACATTATGGAAGCCTTGACCGGAATGCACGTACCGGAATACGTATGACGGATGGTGGATAGCTACTTCACAGATCCAATACTCAAGTACGATACAGAGGCTGGTCCGAGGGAATACGGAGTCACTGGAGGAGTACCTCAAGGATCTGTGCTTGGCCCTCTACTGTGGAACGTCATGTACGATGGGTTGCTGAAGATGGCGCTACCAGGCGGAGCGCGACTCGTCGCTTTTGCTGATGATGTGGCGGTAACCATCGTGGCTAAAACCCTGGAGGAGATCAACTGCATCTTCGACAGGACGTTCCAGCGTATTAGACGATGGATGGACTCAGTCGGTCTCCAGCTTGCTGCGCACAAGACCGAGGCAGTTCTCATCACGAGCCGCAAGAAACTAGAGACGATCACGCTGCGATTCGGCGATACCGAACTCACATGCGGGCCATTCATCCGATACCTGGAGGTGATCGATGCCCGACTCAACTTTAAGCAGCAGGCAGTGCGTGTAGGTGCTAAGGCGTCTGAAGTTAGATCCAGCTTATCATGCCTCATGCCTAATATCGGTGACCCCAAGTAAAGAAGACGAGCGTTGCTGTCTTCAGTCGTAACGTCGGTGCTTATATATGGCAGTGCCATCTGGGCCGACGTACTCCAGTTGCAAGAAGCGCGCCGCAGGTTCGCACCAGTCTAACGGCTGAGTGCCCTTAGAATTGCAAGTGCATATCGGACGGTATCTGAGGATGCGGTATATGTCATCGCCGGGATGATACCGATAGAGCTACTAGCTATGGAACGAAGAGCCCTCTACCAGCGGAAGGGATCAGAAACGCTAAGCTCCGAAGAACTGGCGGCAGAAGAAAGACTAGGCAGTATACGCCGATGGCAGATGAATTGGGACCACTTGGCCTCCAGTGTTACAAGTGGGGTTGAGTCGCAGACTCAACAGGAGACTGAGTGCTCCCTTGCATGGGCCCGGTTGGGTAAGCTCATTGTAGAATTACATGAATTTGTCCAACCCAGGCAAAACATCTACAAGACGGTCAAAGCTAGTGTTACCTCTATTAACAAAGCCTTCAGAAGGCTCAAGGGCCTGGAGGAAGCAAACACTCGGATTGAGTGCTCTGTTACTGGACCGGTAGGCGGCTTGCTAGCTAGCGACAACGACGAAGGACTCGGAGATGGAGGACTCGGACATCAGAAAGGGTGATCGAGAAATCCGTAAAGGGTTACGGAGAAAACGGTCGAAAGGCTCACCTGGAACCGAAGCCCATGAGATGAAGAAGGTGAAGAAGCAGCTACCGGTATCGCAGGATGTACCATCCATCAAGTCACCTGCAAATCCGAAATGGGAGATTGTGAAGAGCAAGGAGAGGAAAAAAGGGCAGAGTGCACAGCCCGATCAGCTGACTTCCAAAAAGAAAAAGGAGCGCCAGGTGAAGACTTCCAGGAAACCAGCGCCGAGACCTGATGCGCGGATTATTCGGCCGAAAGACAAGGAGAAATACTCGGAAATTCTATGCCGAGTAAAGAAAGATGTTCCTCCGGAAAAAGCTCACGATTGCGTCGACAAGATCCGTCGGACAGCCACCGGGGATATGTTGATAATCTTGAGCAAGAAGACGACTGACGGAGCCGCTGAACTGCGTACAGCCATCGCCAATCTCCTTGGAGATGAGGCTCAAGTACTCAGAAAAGGACCACAAGAGGAACTCGAAATAAAGGATCTCGACGAGACAACGAAGGAAGAAGTTCTCGAAGCCCTACAAAGAATAGCTGGAGAGGAGCACGAAATAACTCCCAAGGCGATTAGATCTTTGCGTATGGCATATGGTGGAACCCAGACCGCCTCAGTGACTGTCGCAGCAACTGCTGCGAAAAAGATCCTGGATGAGCATGGCAAAATTAAAATCGGTTGGGTCAATTACCGTGCCAAGAGAATGGAGAGACCAATAAAGTGCTTCAGGTGCTGGCACTACGGACATCTCGCCACGAAACGCACGAGTACAGTTGACCGATCCAAGCTCTGCATCAAGTGCACAGTGACTGGGAACACACCTTCAGACTGTAAGGAGAGGCCCTTATGCGCGTTGTGTTCTGAGAAAAAAGGCAACACGGAGAATTGTGCCCACAGTGCTGGTAGCAGTAAATGCCCAGTTTATAAGGAGGTACTCCAAAAGGTCCTCAATAAATGACGATGAAGGTACTCTAACTAAACCTCAACCATTGTGAAGCTGCACACGACCTGCTTATACAGACACGACCTGCTTATACAGACCTGCTTATACTGCGGGAGTGGAAGCTTGAACTTGTCATGATCTCAGAGCCTTATCGACACCTCGGCACCCAATCCTGGATGTCTGACGCTAGCAGGAAGGCTGTAATCTGGGCTTATGGGAAACGGCCAGTCCAGAGCACTACGGGCAGTAGTATATGAGATAGATTCGTCAAGGCTAAGGTTGATGGAATCCATTTCTATAGCTGCTACGCCCCCCCGAGCCTTTCCATCCATCAATTTACGGAATTCCTGGACAGACTGACTGAGGATGCGAAGCAGCGCTTTCCCGTGGCAATAGCCGGGGACTTCCATGGTTGGGCAGTTGACTGGGGACGTAAGGAGACCTATAGCAGAGGGCACGCTGTACTGGAAGCTATGTCATCATTGGATGTGGTTCTACTGAACAGCGGCGATGAACCGACTTTCATGAGGGGAAAGGCGAGCTCACATTACATTCGTGAGCAGCAACCTCGCAAAGGGGAACTGTTCATGGAAAGTAATGGATACGTACACCGCAAGCGACCACCGTGCGATAGTTTGGGAGACATGTACTCACCAGAGAGTCGCCTCAACTTCTAAGAAAAACAACTGCACTGCCTGGAGAATGAGCACCTTCCATCCTAGCTCTTATCTAGTCGCACTGGACGATCGCCCGATTAGTGGCAAGAATGCTACTGAAAAGGCACGGAATATCATGAAAAGAGTGACAGAAGCATACGATGCCACCATGTTCAGGAGACGGACAGCACACCGGAATCCACCTGTATATTGGTGGAATGACTATCGCCATTCTACGAAAGGAATGTAATGCTGCCAGGAGACTGTCTCAGCGTGGCCGTAAAAAGCCAGACTTCGAGGAGTTGCAGTGGAGATATAAGGAAGCACGCCGGAAGCTCAGCAAAGCGATCAAATGGAATAAAAAATAATCTTGGAGTGAGCTGCTTGATGAGGTGGAAGGTGATCCATGGGGGAGATCGTATAAGGTGGTGATGATGCGATTCAAGACTTAATCAATGCCATCGCCTACGTGCCCTGTGCTGATGGAGAGAATTGTCACGGTGTTATTCCCCCAACAGCCAGAGCTTCACTGTACTGGTGAACGGGGAAAAAATTATTGGTTCCACCAATCACCAAGGAAGAATTGATGGAAGCATGCAATAGAGTGGGTAACACCAAGGCCCCGGGTCTTGACGGAGTTCCTAATATCGCGCTGAAATCAGCTATTCATGCAATTCCGGAACTATTCTGGGATGTCTACAATGAGTGTTTAAGAGAGGGCACCTTCCCGACCAGGGAAAAGCAGCAGAGACTAGTATTGCTCCCGAAAGGGAATAAACCACCGGATGATCCTTTATCATACTGTCCCCTCTGCATGCTAGATTCTGCTGGCAAGATCCTCGAGCGAATCGCCCACCGAAGGATAGAAGGAGCGGTCGAACCCTTATTGGCCGATAACCAATATGGGTTCCGAAAAGGCCGATCCACCCTAGACGCTATAAACCTAGTCGTTAACACCGCTAAGGACGCGATCTCAGGGAAAAGATGGCTGAATGGTACAAAGAAGTACTGCATGGTGGTCACGCTAGATATCAAGAATGCTTTCAACTCGGCCAAATGGGGCCGTATTATTGAGGCATTGGTGAAATTCAATGTACCGGGATACTTGCAGAGAATGGTCGGCAGCTATTTCACTGGAAGGGTCCTTAAATACGACACGGAGTATGGCTCCAAAGAGTACACAGTCACCGGAGGTGTACCGCAATGTTCCGTATTAGGTCCTCTATTGTGGAACATCATGTATGACGGGCTACTGAAACTAAAAATGCCGCGGGATACTAAACACGTGGCATTTGCGGATGACGTGGCGGTAGTCATTGTGGACAAATACCTGGAGGAGATCGAACTCAATTTTGACACAACCTTCGAGACAATTTGCCGCTAGATGGATATAGTAGGCCTGAAATTGGCGGAACACAAGACAGAGGCTGTGCTGATCACCAGCAGAAAAAAAAACCGAGACAATGAGGCTGCAGGTCGGGTCCTGTGAAATCACCTCTCAGCCGTTCATCCGATACCTGAAGGTGATGATCGATGCCCGACTCAATTTCAAGCAGCAAGCGGAGCACGTGGGTGCCAAGGCGTCTGGAGTTAGATCCACCTTATCACGTCTCATGCCCAACGTTGGAGGCCCCAAGCAAAGAAGACGAACGCTGCTGTCTTCAGTGGTTACGTCTGTGCTCACATATGGTATTTCCATTTGGGCTGACGTACTCGAGCTGCAGGCAGCACGCCGTAGGATCGCATCAGTCTATTGGCTGAGTGCTCTGCGAGTTGCGAGCGCTTACCAGACAGTATCAAAGGACGCAGTGTGTGTCATCGCCGGGATGCTCCCCATAAAAATATTGGCCAAAGAACGACGGTCATTGTACCAGCAGAGGAAATCGAAAGCACTGAGCGCAGTAGAACTCAATGCAGAAGAGAGGCAGAAGAGTCTGCAGCAATGGCAGCTCAAGTGGGACACCTCTACCAAAGGGAGATGGACACACTGTCTAATCCCACAGGTAGGTGATTGGATAAACCGTACTCACGGTGTGGTTAATTACTATCTCACGCAAATGCTCGCGGGATATGGGTGCTTCCGGGCGTATCTTCATAAATTCAAACATGAGGATTCCCCGGAGTGCCCGGTCTGCACAGGAGTTAACGAAGATGCGGAGCATGTATTTTTCAGATGCCCCCGTTTCAGTGAGAGCCGGAGTACTTGGGAAGTAGTCCTTGAAAGGGAAGTCCTGCCTGAGAATCTGATGGAAACTTTGCTGTCATCGCAGGCAGCCTGGGAAGCAACGAGCAACTTTGCAGCTGCAGTTATGAAGGAGCTCAGAAGTGGAACGCAAGCGAAAGGCTGCAGCATAGGTGAGAAATCTGCTGGAACCTCCTACCCACACCCAACACCCTAGCTGGATAGGAGGATGTACTTCAGATGCAAAGAATGTGGAAGAGCTAATAGCTGAGACCCCCCTCGCGAAGTAATACTTAGCGGTGGTGCCGCGAGCGACAAGGCACAGATAATTAGAGGTACAAAGAGGAAAACAGGGTTTTTACTGGGTAAAAATCCCAGATCTGGTTTTAACATCTCTTTACCAGAATCTTTTGATGAGGTTTTCCCAAACCTCTATAAAAAAAACACACACACACACATACACACATATGAACACGTCTTCAAAATTCGTTGAAAATGATTCTAAACGTCAAGAAACGTGGACAAGTCATGAAAATTCCACATTCGATTTCCGGGGTCATTACTATAACTACCCGATAGATCGGGAAGTTAAAAATTAAAGAATTGATTAAAAAAATCTGAAAAAAATCAGGGTGGATTTTTCATTGAGTAGAATCATGAAAAAAAATGGAACGAATTTGAGATGGTCAGGATTTAAACCGCTCGAATTGACATGGAATGCCCCGTATCTACCTGGATATATATAAAAATGATGAAAACTATGAACTATGAACTATGTATAAGCATCGACATTGAAGATGTACCCATAATTGTATGTAATGATTCGCATGTTTTTTGCAATTCATTTCATTTCTTTTTCATATAGCAAAATGACCCATGAGGTTCAAATACTCGAAATAAAAAAAATTGCAAAGATCAATGTGACTGATGAAAATAATATGTCCCAATTTATTAACTGCGAAATTTTTCTATGAATTACTTGCGTATTTGCTCATTCCTATGCTCACTGAATAAGATTTTAATCACGATTAGAATTCAACTTCTTTTCAAGCATTATTTAGAGAATCAATTGCTGGAATTCACTGCTTGTTGATACTCGAGTAAAAGTGCGTGCCAACCCTGTTATAGATTTTTTAAATATTGTTTACCTCACTTTAGTTCGTATCATCAATGTAATTGGTTGCTTAGAATGTCGTCACTTAATTTTTTTTGTGAATCTGAAATTCATATCAATGTTTCAGATGATATGATTTTCAGAGATTTTCGGAGACCATAAACCATCTTTCTAAATACATGATTCAATCCTAATCAATTTTTTACTCGAAGAAGAATTTTTCCATCGAATTAATGGTAAATGTGCATGACATGTGACTCCACTTTAATTTTTATAAATTTGTAATCGTTAGATTCAGAATAATTTATACTTTTAAAAACTATTCACTAAAAAAGTCGCTGTCAAATAGTCTGGTGACAAAATGGACTGATGATGTAGCGGAAATTATCAATATTTTTTAAATTTAAATTATAATTTTTAACTCTGAAATCTATACATGAAACCGCTAATTTTTGAAATAACAAGGAGTATCGAATTAATACTCCGAAGTCAGAAACCAGTGGATCCACCTCGAAATTCAGTCGATAGGGACCGTGTGTATTCGAGAACAGTAGCGGGTACCTGTGCGATTCTTTTGGTGTTGACAGAAATTCGAAGAGACGCAAATCAATTTCGTATATATTTAATACATTGCTACTAGAAGGTGTAGCGGAGTTGGGTGTCTGAAGGAGCAGACGGAGTGTTGTTTTGTGTACTCGTCAAGAAGTCACACTGTGTTAAATTAAAAAGATCTTCGAAAAATTATCCCAAGTGTCGTGTTGTGATGTGGGGTGTATTAGGTTCTTCGTTGAGGTCGATGCACCACTGCGTCCACGTCGCGGCCTCGGGTAACGCGGAATGTGGTGATCTCAGTTGTTTCATTCTATTAAAAAAAAATTTGGTGTTAGGATCGCAGTGTCCAAATAAATAGGTTTCCGTGCATTATTGGGAAGTTTCTGGAAGGTCGGAGAGATGTTGTCAGACGATTGAGAGGTTTGACTTTCTACAAGTCGACTTAGATGAGTTCTACTATCCACCTTTAGATTGTACAAATTATACTGAAAAGGTTAGACACCAAGAAAAC